CAAACCAACCATTTGAAAAAGCCTAATCTTAATCCTAATCATACTGTTCCAAAAATAAGAAATGCCTACCTCAAGCACAAGGAGTGGCGGCCGTCTTTTCGACCATCCCTACCTTTCTACCTCTTTTTTTTTTTTGGTGTGCCCCTTTTGAGTGGAAAAAGATTCTTTTAATAGGAATAAAAAATAAATTTATAAGTTGATATTTATTACCTTCTAATTTTTAGTTATCTATGCTTGTAACAAACCCAACTTTTGCGGGAAGGGGAAACTGACCATCTATGATCAATGAAAATCCCACCTGTTGTTGTTCAAATTGTCACTGACTCCTAAGAATTTGATTACAAATCATCGTTTACATGCAACGGATATAAGTCATTTTCGTGTAACATCATTCTTAACCACTTCAAAGAGGAGAAATTCTTTCATGCAACGGTATGGTATATTACACTAGTAGTATTTTTATTTAATAATGTTGTAATAAATCAGTAAATGTGACTTTAATTGTAATGAAAAAAATTTAATTATTATCATTTTCATTTCTTGATTAATTTATTTTAAGTGGAAGTTATCACACTTATAGATTTATCGCAACATTAATAAATGATAATACTATTGATGTGATATTTTTATTGTATGAAAAAATTTCTCCAACATGAGAGAACTAACCATTCAAAAAGCCTAACCTAATCATGTTATTTCAAAAATAAGAGATTTATAGAAAGAGAAAAACTATTCCATGTTTTATATGCAGGAATTATTAACAGTTTTATATGAGTGAGGAAGCAATTATAGAAAAGTAGAAGTTATTTTATCTAATATAGCGAATATTAATATTTTTTTAGCACAGTAAAAGTTAATTGTTGTAGTTTATTGTGTTTAGAATGAGAAGAATAGCAGTATTGGATCAAATAAATAGTGATTTGAGAACAAATGAATTATTATTGATTATGTACACATGGGGATGGCAGGGTTAAGATGTACTAGATTGGTTTTTGATGTTAATGGAAATGCTTGTTATTTTTCTAAAGAAAGAAAATGGTTACATACCTTGACGGCCTTCTTTTGACTTTTATACCTCTCACCCCCCCCCACCGTTCTAAAATTGATATAAAAAGTATTGCTCAAACTTATTTAGTCCAAAGAAACAGTAACTCTTGACAACTTGGTCACCATTCAAATTCCCTTCTTTAATTTTCAGACATTATCCTCTGCATTCTTTAAA